CAGATCAGCAGCAACATGAACTGGATCAGCAGCAACATGAAACAGATTAGCAGCTACATGAAACAGATCAGCAGCTACATGAAACAGATCAGCAGCTACATGAAACAGATCAGCAGCTACATGGAACAGATCAGCAGCAACATGAAATGGATCAGCAGCAACATGAACTTGTAGTGAACCTGATCTGACCCTGATCTGACCCTGATGACCTCAAATCTATCAGATGGACAGAGACTGTTATTTTCATTGATCTGAATACAGTCTGAGCCATCTGGTGACTTTCTTTCTTGAATTAATCAAGCAGAAAAGACAATTCTCTATAATCATTTACTGTTTTACAAATGTTTGATAATCAAATTGTGTTAGTTCCATTCAATGCTTACAGGTTGGAAAGAACTACTCATTTTTATTTTACATAAACAGTAAGTAATGATTTTTATTCCTCATTTAAAGAAGAAATCAGGTTAATATGCATTTCTTGATTCTCTGTCTGAAATGAGCCAAGTAATGTAAGTATGTTAAAGGTCGGTTTTCGGTCAACTAAAATGTTTACTGAGAAGAAATGTCATGTTTTACTATTTGAGAAGATACAACAGCGTGAGACTCCACGAAGTCTGGTCGTCTGCAATAATCTTTTCTGTATGTTGAAAACAATCCTTGACTTATGATAACATCTTACATCACAAAAACACACCTCTTTCTGGTCCATCGACCAATCAAAAGCTCTCAAATGAACCGGAAGTCGACCCATTTTAAATGTGGCAACTTCCCAGTTCATGTTAGAAGGGAAGAGAATTCAGAAGAATTCCGGAGGATTCGAGAGTACAGAGTTGCTGACAATTAAGAGTCTGAAAAGTTCTGAAGAATGAAAGGAGTTCAGTATTCTTGGGTGCAAACGCATTCAAGATGGTCCAGAGACGTTTTGGAATTATAACTTCTGTTTGAACAAACCACACACGACTATCTAAGGATTTCAGCCGCTCTCAACGGAGACGCTGAAAGGTCTGGAGGATTCTCTATCGAGCTGATCTATCATCAACCAGGTAACGGTCTCTTCTTCGACTAAAGTGTACCGGAGGCGAGCTGAGATCTGATGAAGCGTGCACGTTCTGGTCAAACAGATTAATTCCCTCACATAGTTCTCTGTAAGATAAATCTCCATGTCATCTTAAAACTCTCCTCTTTCTCATAAAATCAGTACAGATATTTTAGAAATATCTGAAGCAAAGTCCTCGTTCACCGCCGAGTGATCGATGCTCATTTTCTGTGAAACTTGTCTGTTATTATTTTCATATTTTGCCAAATTAATGTAAATGTTCGATGTTAAACTTTGATTCTGAAAATAAATGACCGCATTCATTTTGATGGGTCAAAGATAAATGACGTCTCTCGTTACATTTCTGTTAAATTCAATGCACGACATTACACAGTCAGAAAGATGAGGAACTCGTGAATATTGTATCAATATATATCTCATATATTGTCATACTACAACTAGTGGCACGTACCCACGTGTTCACTACAAACTGGATCAGCAGCAACATGAAACAGATCAGCATCTACATGAAACAGATCAGCAGCTACATGAAACAGATCAGCAGCTACATGGAACAGATCAGCAGCAACATAGAACAGATCAGCAGCAACATGAAACAGATCAGCAGCTACATGGAACAGATCAGCAGCAACATGAACCGGATCAGCAGCAACATGGAACATATCAGCAGCTACATGGAACAGATCAGCAGCAACATGAAACAGATCAGCAGCTACATGGAACAGATCAGCAGCAACATGAAGCGGATCAGCAGCAACATGAAACAGATAAGCAGCAACATTAAGCAGATCAGCAGCAACATGAAACAGATCAGCAGCAACATGATGTGATTTTTCACAGTGATTATTCTAGTTAGAGATTCATGAGTCTAACAGCCTCAGGGTAGAAGCTGTTCCTCAGTCTAGTGGTTCTACACTTAATGCTCCTCAACCTCCTTCCGGAGGGGAGCGGGGCAAAAAGTGTGTGTGCTGGGTGAGTGGGGTCCTTCATGATGCAGGTGGCCCTCTTCCTGCATCTGGAGGTGTAGATGTCTGTGATGGTGGGGAGACTGACTCCAACATCTTCTGTGCAGCCTTCACCACTCTCTGCAAAGCTTTTCTTTCTGCAGCTGTGCAGCCTCCATGCCACACGTTGATGCTGGAGCACAGGATGCTCTCCACTGATGTAGCTGAATGTTTGTTTAAAACATGTCCAGGACCACCAGAACCACGCTGGCAGTGATCCAGCTGCAGTCCAGGCCTGACTGATGTTTTTGACTCAAAGTAAAACATTTTAATAATTTTCTGTTTATCATTAATTAATTAATTTTAACGACGTGACGTAAACACCTGAGCTCCAGTCTTCTTCTGGAGTCGGGTCTCTGAGTTCTTCGGAACCAGAACCAAAGCTTCAAGACGGTTCTGTATTCAGACTGTTGGGTTTATTTGGTCCTGGTTTTGAAGCTCGTTTGGACCTGGAGGAGGAACCTGAACTGACAGCATGACGTGTGGGCTGGTTCTGGTTCCCCTGAGCCGGGCCCTGAATAATTCACAGTCTTAGAGGAGGTGTTGGTGTCGTGTGAACCGAGCCGAAGCTGCGAGCTCTGGATCAGAACCAGCTGGATCTGTTCTGATTGGACCCACATCACAGAGCACCTCCTTCCTGTCAGATGTCACTTCCTTCAAACGAGGCATGAGCAGCACCAACTCAGCCGGGCCAGGAGGAGGAACCAGAACCTGATTTTAGAGGACCCAGATCCTGATTCTGGAGTAAAAACAGTCCTGAACATTTCTACTCAGCTCTATGATCAAAGCTTGTCGTGTGACGAGTCATCAGTCCAACTGGCGTGGACCGGATCTTATTTCTGTTGAGTCAGAATCGGGTCTGGCTGTCCCGGTTCTGGGCTCTTGTGTCTGATTTGTTTTGGTTGATCTTTTCAGGTTCTTGTGTTTCGTTCCTCACATCTCATTCGTTTCCCTCAGCTCCTCTTGGTTCACACCTGCTCCCTGTACTCATCAACCTCAGCTGTCACCCCTCGTCTCATCGTTTCAACTCCTCGTCCTCCTGCAGGACCAGGACCAGGACCGAGAACCGAACGTCTCACCTGATCTCTGTCCAGCAGAGAGAATTCTTTTAGACCTCCTGGATCAGGGTCTGGTTCTTTCAGTCTCTACCAGAGTTCAGGGCCAGAGGTGAGGGAGGAATGTAGACCAACCCATGAGACCTCTCTCTTCACCACAACGGACCGGAACAGTGTCCACAGTACTGCAGACAGTCTGTCAGTGTCATGCTCCATCCTTCTCTCACTCGTGAATAAAACCAAATGCAAATGAATTCTATGAACCAGTTAAAGACCTGCTGGTTCCCAACCCAACACTGGTCCTGGTCCTGCAGGACCACCATCCTGGGTTTAGTGCTCTGCTCCAACACACCTGATCCAGTGACTTAATTACGTCCTCAGGTTCTGCAGAAGCCTGCAGGCTCATTTGAATCAGGTGTGCAGAGCAATGACTATGCAGTTTCTCCAGGACCAGAACCAGAACTGATCCAGTCCAACTGTGGACTGAGAACAGTTTTTACTGAGGCAGCTGCTCCTTGTGCACTGATCCGGTAAACGCTTTCAGTTTGATGATTTTCTGACACCGCTGGTAACTGGACCCTCAGAACATCTTGGACCTTCGTGGAGGTCACTGCAGAGAAGTCTTCATGTTCTGTCTGACTGAGCCGGGCCGGTTCTGTTCGTCCTGCAGCAGCTGCATCGCCTGCATTATGGCACAGTTACGCAACAGGAAGGTTAGTGGAGCAACATCAGCACCAACATCTGGACCGCCAGCTGCTGCTTTCTCTGGATTTATGTAACTGTTTTCAGAACCGGCTCAGGAGCATTCAGTCTGAGGGCCAGACCAGAACCGGATTCGGCTTCAGAACCGTCAGAGCTACAGATCCTCCCGGGTCGTGACTCTGATCCGCAGATCTTTGTTCTGATGAAGAGGAGACAGAAACCTCCTCTTCCTCCTCCGTCATCCCTCAGTCTGCCGCAGCGGAATCCCGTGACGTCACGGCCCGGCTTTCGTTGCCCTGGTTACTTGTGACGCAGAAATAGGCGGGGCATGCGGTACCACGTGCCCAGTATAAAAGACCGGTCCTGATCCGGTTCGGCTGCAGTCAGATCACAGCATCAGAGGAGCAGGACTTGAGTTTTGCTTGCGGTAATTTTGCGTGTTTTCTGCGTGTTCACGCTGGACTCTCGGTGCGGGATCAGAACCATGGCGGTGACGGAGGCGGGCTGTGACCTGACCTACTGCAGGATGCGGGGGGTCGTTGCGGTTCTGACCGGTGAGCCCCCTTTGATCTAACAAAAACTTTAATTGACTATGACGTCACCAGGACGGATTGTTGTGATATAAACAGGAACATTTTGTTCCGGCTGCTTCTTAGAAATAGAGTTCAGATTTAAACATCCGAGCTGTGCGCATGCGCACTGCGCTCCGCCGTGACGCTGAGTGGAAAAATCCGCCTGCATGAATGAATGAATGAATGAATGAATGAATGAATGAATGAAACACTGAACCACAGTCTGGGGTCATTTAGTCCAGAACCAGAACTCGGTGTCAGAGCCACAGTCTAGTCCAGAA